GATGAGCAGTAAGTAAGTATTATAAATGACACATAAACTGTAAAAGAACTAAAGTGTCTTGATCATAAATTAAATGATACATAAATAAATACTTAAGTTAGTTTTTATTTCAGTTGATAAGCAGGTTTCATCCAACCAAGCAAAAAACAGCAGATGAATTATATAAGAGATACATGTTGATAAATTTGTCACAAGAAAAGGGAAGGTTCTCCTTAAAAGGCTACATTCTTGAAAAACCAGTTTCACAACGATTTGTATTCCCATGGACTAACAGACGTTGAGAAGGTTGTCTTCTACCTCAACTAAGATATTTATGAAACCCGTTCTCTCACTTTGTAACCTGACTCGCTATTAACTACCTCTAGCATAGTTCTTCCATAGGGTTTTTGAAATAATAGCTCTGAAACATAAGATTGAAATCAACATTTATAGTGTTAAAAAATCCAGAAAAAACATTTGTTTGGAAGTAATACACATGTATATAAAAAATTCAATCAAAGCAACTAGTATAATAACTTTTAAAATAGGATCAATGTTTAAAATGCATAATAAAGACGTTATTTGGCTGACAGCAAAAATTAAAAGACTACATATTTCAGTACCCAACGACGATAATGTTACATTACATGTAGTCTCTTAATTTTGGCCAAATAAACTTTTAGTCAAATCGACCAAATAATATTTCTATTGTCCATTTTACACAATGATTCTATTTTTAATTTTATACGCTACGTGTTTTACTTTGGGACAAATTACTCACGGGTCATTGTTTTTTGGTAGAAGGGTTCCAAGCTCCTTGATTCGATCATTGATGTTGAATCTGCGACGTCTTTCAACTGTCCAACAAAAAACAATTTTAGGAATTACGGTACAGATAAGAATAAATAAACCTTATTTTTACTACTAATAAAACTGAGGCAATAGATTAACAGACAAATAATGTATTCCTTCAAAACATTTGTGTGAAAGACAAACCCATGTAACCTAAGTCTCTCGGGCATGTACTGATATTGTAAATTTGGTACAATGCAATGAAAGCAGGGATAAAGTTACACTCCTTGTCTTTGATAATTTAAAGAAAGCTGTTATGTGAAGGTTCCCATCTTTTAGAAAACTACTATGATTTTTGCACGTAAACATTTTTATAAGCAAATGAGTGGAATTGAGCACACTTACTATATCTCACATTCTCTATATTTAGTCAAGCTCGTTAAATGTAACAGTGTCTTTACCACTCCATGAAACCACACTTTATTTCGTGGTTACAAACCTATATACAGTTGTACTTTTTATGGTACTCAAGTACAGCAGTAATGAGAAACATATCACATTAGAGTAAAAAATAAAATGTCATGAGTAACAAGCAAATTTTTTCAAATCGAAAAATACCACAGAATGTGTGAAAAATAAGAACTTGGTGGTATATCAAAGCACAAAGTTAAATAATCTGTGCTGTGCCCACCACAGCACCAAAACCCATTTTTTTATCAATATGAGCTTTCAGACTCACCACTGGGAGGCGAACCAACAAAACATCAACATTAAGACAAGCATGATGAATACTGCAAATCAGCAACAACACATGTTCATGTTGACACACACAAAACACAGATTTACCTTTCCACTCAAAATCCAACGAGCCTTGTCTCTAAGTTAATCGGCAAATGCAATCATGATGTGGACAATTAAAAAGATCAGAAGAGGAATATTATTTCTCTGTTGTACATGAATAACTTTTAAGTCCTTGACTTCACCAGAAATTGTTTTTTTTTTAAGATTTAAGATTTCCTGAATTTAATATCAGGTCATCATGGAAATCAAAATTTCACTACAGTGAGAGGGAAACCTGGTTTTGTCATATGATTGAAAAGGAGAAAAAAGAAACGCTTTCAAACAGGCAATTTATGAATGACTTAAGGGTAAAAAAAACTTCTGCAAGCAAACATTAAGACCATAAGCATGAAGTCAGATAATGAATGAATAAGGATAATTTCAGATTAGTGATGAAATAAAATCTTTTGATTATTTACAGAAATTACATTGTTAAAAAGGGCAGTAAACACGCTAATATCAAAAATAGTATCTGGGTGTCATTGTAACGAGATGTATGTTTGTGCAATACGAATGTAACCCTAAATACTTTTTTGGACCCATTAGTAAGTCTCTCACTCACAAATAGACTAAGACAGATTAACACAAATAGTTGGAATCAAAAGTATATTTACAGACAATCTCTCAAAGATCTACCAGCTACAAATAACTTACGGACTTTTAAGCTTCTTATGTTAATCGTCTCCACGTGAAAATTCTATACTCTAAGAAATCAGTTACTTATTCCACAGCTAAAATTTGACTGGTAATTATCCATACGCTTCATGTGTCTTCTGGCACACACACACACAAAATTTTTTTAAAGTAATAAGTGCTGGATATACAAAAGTTGGATATATATCATTTAGTTTATTTAGTGATTCAATAGTTAATGATTATTTAGTTTTCATAACAAGAGTGTTAAAAGTTAATTACTTTAAAAGCGATAGTTATGACAAGTTTCGTTACATAACTCTGTATGAGTCATACGTTGTGTATGTAGTTTAATTGTTGTACTAGGGTTTTGTAATATTGTTGTCACTAGAGGACTAGACATTTTTAGATCTTTCTGTTGTGTGTTATAAATACATGCAGATACAGAGAAAAAGGAAGTAAGTTAGTAAAAGTTAAAGTAAGTCAGACTGTGTGATTTTCAGTTTAGCTGTAACTGGTGATTTCTAAAGTGAAAGTTTGACAGTTCATATTGTAACAACATAGATAGAGAATAACAATTGGTCTTGTCAATTGTGTTCTGAAGTAATTGAACAAGCCTGTGTGAACTTTTGATGTAAAAGAAAGTTATTTAAAGCTCATACTGTGGTTACTCACCCAGTGAACATATCACTGATTGTATTGTGATAACAGAGGAGAGAAGAAATAATTGGTCTTGTCAATTGTGTTCTAAAGTAATTGAACCAGCATTTGTGAACTTTCGACAAAAAGGCTCTGGATTCAGCTGTGGTAAACAATAGTGTAACAAATTTTTGTACATTAGTTTGACTTGTTTTGAATATATATTATTTTAAAACAAGTGGATTGTGTGCTGTCTTTTATTGTTGATGTTCATCACCAAAAGTCACAGACACCTTCTGTAAATAATCCAGCCCCAATAAAAACTTGACAAGAAGTAATACTTTAAATGTTATATATATTCATAGATACATTATCACAAAGATAATCTTATTTTGTTAAAAGTCATCCCACTTAAAAATATCCTTTTCTCTAAAAAAAAACAGCTCCTCAGGCTTAGAACATGAAAACAATAAAACTTACATGCTTGTTTAGGACTTAATGAAAAAAAAAAGATGTATAAAATATTGCTGCATAAAAAAAAACCTACAATTATCACACTGTTCTCCTTAATGTAATCAAAATAACCAATCAACATAAATTTTAAACTCCTAATGTTTCAAACATATCTAAAATCCATAGCGTACAACCAATTTACTAACTCATATTGTGGTTATCTTTCTTCTGTCTATCTTTCACCAATGCGTGCAAATGGTCATTAGCCACAGATAAAGGTTCCTCTTTAATGTTTACAACATCAGATTGGCAAGATTTTGATGATATGGTTTGTTCAACAGGAAACAAGTCAAGTATATTTGCAGCTCCAGGTATCTATGAAAGTACAAATTGGTCAAACATACAAAATTTCTTCACTTTTCAAACTTAGTATTTTAGATCAAGTAATATCGATCTGTAAAGCTGTCATTAACAATACAGTTTATTAGGATTAATGTGTAATTAATTTGTTTGTTTAAACCTTTTTTTTGAATGTTGGGGACCTAATTACTTTGTATGTGTGTGTGAGGGGGCCTCTTTTGTGGTTACACCACTGCTAAGAGTTAAGTATGCGATATTTTGCCAACAGCTGTTCAAAAAGTTTGTAGTTTTCT